GCAGGCTGGGCAACAGCAAACACCTTCGCAAGATTCTTAATCTGCGAATTGAGCCGGTGTCCTCTCTCGTACTCGCTTCCGCCAGTACTGGACCCACTTAGGTGTCTTCGCTTGCTCGCCATTCTACTCCTCGGACTGGATAAGTGCGATATTTCTCAGTTGAGTCTTCGGTTGAAGCCCTGAGTCCTCCAGCACTCATGATGCGGGCACCACTGCGATTGCTCTGGTGCTGGCTAGGTGCCTCCGTGTGCACGGTTCCCTCGGTAACTGTCCCATGTGTATTATCTACTGTAAGCCTCTCTGAGCACGTGTCTTCCCTTGGCAAGCCATCTGCCACACCTGGAGCTAAGTTTTTAGCCACCCGTTGGTTGGTGCTCCAGTGATCTCCATATGTAGTCCCTAACACGGCCATATGTGTATTCTTAAGTCCTCCCTACGGTAGGCATCTGGTTGCATGTCCCTCCCGGGATATGCTTCCCAGTGTACCTTGGTATTCCTGTGTTAAAGTAGGAACTCCTGGTTATAAGGTAAGTTCAGGAGTCCAGACTTTCGCAGGGCACTGGAAGACAGCTATGAAGATGGCGTGATGGCACTGACCCCCATTCTCCGTCACTCCTGACGTAACTCGGAGTGACTACGAAAGGGAACGTCTCGGTTACGGATGTAACCCTCGTTCCCTGAGTAGGGAATGGAGACGTTATGTCTCCTTGCCACTTCTGCTGTATCGCTGGGTAGACGCCGAGTTCAGTCTTGGCTCCTCAGCGAAGACATTCTGCGGTTGCGTTCACTTCCTCCTTTTATACCCACGGGGTGGGGCGGAGGTACGCTATGCAAATTCCGCAGCCCCAAGGCATTTTCATGCCATTGGCTCGTTGTTAAATAATCGAAGAGGATTGGCTTTCTATGCGAAACCCCCATTCTCCGTCACTCCTGATGTAACGTCTCCGTTCCCTACTCAGGGAACGAGGGTTACATCCGTAACCGAGACGTTATGGTAGGTATGTCTGGGGTAGGATTAGGGTTAGACCACTAGGAGGCGCCTTTTGCCCCATATATATCTGCGTCTCATATTGACGCTAAAGGGTGCCATGTGCGTTGGATGTCTACGCTTTGGCAAAAGCGTCGTATATGTGGGATGAGAACGGACTGGTCATTTACTTATCCAAAATAAGTGTTTTCCATTAAACCCTGGTTAGGTGGAATCTGTACAAATGAAGAACATTCAAAACCATTGCTAACCCATGTTTATCTGATTACAACAACTCAAAAAGAATAAGCAGTATAATAATCCAATAGATTCTGCTGGCATTTATCATGCTGGCTAAGGTTAGTGTCCATGAATTCACCATTTAGAAAATACTGAAAGGTGGTGTGCATGGGATACCAGTCTATGGATGATACCAAGGAGGAAACCACAGCATCCAAACAAAACACTACATGTCTGAGATCTGCCAAACTCGACCTAGATGATCCAGATGCATGGCTTTCATTTGATACATGATGAGGATGATACATGATGAGGAAGAAAATTATATTTTTCTCAATATGAGAAAATAAACACTGCATCCCCCAAATAGGATGGTATGATGGTGAATACACATTTGATTAAAAAAAATCTGAAATATATTTTGCTTTGTTCATGTTGTCAGGTTTAAAATCTGCGAACAATTACATCAAAGTGGTTACACACAAAACATTACTTACTACATCTTTTATTATAGGATTTATGTCAGATTAAAAAGGATAATAAAAGTTTAGAACTTTCACATCATATTATGTGATCACTTTACATGCTGCTTTACATTTTAACATCACAGTAATGTTGACTGCTATCAGACAAACTCATTCTCTAGCACAGAATGTCTTTGGAAGGTCTAGGCTACTCACAGGGAATTTCTGCAAGTTAACCTCCCCCATGATCAGGCCACCCACAGTTATAGTCATGTGCCTGGGATTGGCCCTTCTAAATGAGTCCAGTGTACTCCATATTGAATCCTGACTGACAAGGTAAAATGAAACAAAGGAAAAGGCCCCTGCTTGGAATATGACCACTAAAGCTTATTTTATAGATGTTGAACAAAACCCGCCTATCAGCTTGAAAAGGCTGAAGAAAATCTCATTTATTTTCAGAGAAATAAAAATTAACATCAAAGGCCAAGTGGTCATAGATGTGTGAGATGACATTTTTCTTTATGAAATGATTTTTTTTTAAGAAATGAATTTTAATTAAATAATGGTACAACTTAATAAGGCTTTATTTGTTGACAACATTAGTTAACATTAATTAACAATGAATACTTCCAGAGAATTTAGTCTTAATGTCAATCTCAACATTTACTAATACATTTCTTGATTCAAATGTTGCTTCTGTTAACATTCATTGATGCACTGTGAAATAACATTAGGACAAAGATTTAAATTCACTATCACTAACATTTACAAAGGTTAATTAATGCTATAAAAATATATGGCTTATTGTTAGTTCACCTCAATGCATTAATTGATGTTAACAAATGCGACCTTATTGTAAAAAATTATTATAATAATAATAAACAATAAATTAAAATTAGTTCTTGTTAAATAGCTAGTTTATAGCTAATTGTGATTTATTTTGCTGAAAGTTTTCAAAGAAATCAAGTATAAGATCACACGACATTTATCCTTTTCACAGACGCAACATTAAATTTCATTTAATTCAGTTTCTTGTCTTTTCTTTCATTCAGTACTGTGTATTTTATGAGGAAAATGTGACTGAATTAAGAGGAATGTGACCCAGTTCAAGGTTGTTTGTTTTTTTGTTGTTGTTGTTGTTTTTTTCTTTTGCAATATCATTGCCTCACAGTGTCCTCCTTAGTGCACCTTCTGCTCTATTCTGAGAAGGCTTAGTGTTCCAGTGCAGAGAAACAGGGTGACTGGAAGAAATTTTGCTTGATTCAATTAGGCAAACAAACAGGCACTTACAGAGAGAACATTGCATGAGACTCTTATGCTTTCTATCTTGTACATAATGTAGAAAACACATTAACAAAACATTTGGAAAACAAAAAAAAAATAATTAAATAAAAATTTCAATTATTCTAACTTCCACGCTGTCCTGTTCCAGTCTCCATTTGAACCCATTGTTAAAAAGATATGAGGCGGCCGAGACTTGTTCAGAATAAAGGTGAATAATATAACATTATTACCTAGAGGAACATTTTTTGAAGAACCATCGGAAGAAAATGTAAGTGGTGCTTGCAATATAGGTGGTTGCTAGGGTGGTTGTTAATGTGTTTGGGGTAGCAGTTTGGTGCTCTGAGTTGTTATATGGTATTCCTAGATGGTTGCCTTGATGGTTGATTCCTTGATGGTTGTTGTGGGTGGTTAAGGCGTTTCTAGGCTGTTGCTATGGTATTCTGGGAGGATGCTAGGGCATTGATATAGTGTTCAGGGTGGATGCTCATTGTCATAGATGGTTACCATGGAGTTTGTATAGAGTTTTAAGCATGTTCTTATCGTGTTTTAGCACTTAGCTAATCACGGTTACCATGTAGCAGTTCACTGCTAGCATGTGTAACATGATGGAAATCCTAGTTGCTTGCAAGAGAGTCAACCCCTATACGATGTTCTGATGCTGAGATAGGTCCTGCTAAACAGTTGCAAGGGTACTCTGTTTGGTTGCTAGCGAATGGCTTGGCAGCTGCACATGATAAACCAATACCAATGCCATGACATTAAGATTTGAAGATATTACTTTTCCCATGATTTGACGCCTCATTCATGGAGACTAGGCTAGGAGACTACAAACAGTGCGGGACGAGTTACGCGCCACAGTTTTGCCCAGAAGAAGTAGTATGCAAGAATAAAACCTAATGCTTCGCTTCCAAGCACATCCAGCTCCGCAGCACACCAGTTTCAGATCAGAACCCCAGCGCCCAGAACCGGAAGTAAGGGGCAGAGTTACGTACTAACCAACACCAGCGCCAGGGCCGTAAGTGAGGGGCGGAGCTTATGTTTGAAACCTAACGCCACCTAACATAATTTAGAGTTTTTTTTTTGTTTTGTTGCTTTTATTAAACATGAAACCTCTATACATATGTGTGATGCTACATTACAGTGCAATAAGCATTTTAAAACATTGATTTTGTGTAATATAATTGTATATAGTTTCAGTTATCGTTTGTTTTAGATCGATGCTACTTCATCATGATGGTGAAAAAATAATACTTGAACCTTATGGGCGTTTTAATGTATAACAGTTTAATAATTTTAGCTAAGCAGTTTATACATAGGCTACGTGTAGATTTACGAAGGTAAAACCTTTGTTTTTTTGTTTTTTATGAAGGAGTTAACTTTGTATAATAAAGCTTTGAAAGATATAAAACAAGTCAAGCATTGGAGGTTTTCAAAATTATACACAATTCGATAACTGATTAGACCTCTGTGATATTTTATGTTCTATTTATTTATTTATTGTGTTTACAAAAATCTTAAATTGTTTTGAAATTGAAGATATGTATTTGTAAGATGATTTTGATTGTTTAATAAAAAAAACGCATGGGTATTTTTTTATTATAAAATATACTTTATTTCACAAGAACATGTGCAGCATGCATTTTTTTCGTGTAAAATAATAATGTCAAAATCTAAAAAAGAGAGAGAAAAAATCGGCATTGTTTTAAGCGAAACAATAAAAATGTATACAAAATGACCAATTCAACCCTAGGTCTGTTTTATTACAACAATCTTGTATACATTTAACTTACAATGTATCAAATGAGGAACTCACTCTCAGGGCCATTTTGTCCTTACATTCTTGCTAAAATAACTATAATGCAGTAATAATAACCCCCCCCCCCCCCCTCCTCCTCACTTCCGGTTCTGGCGCTGAGGTTCTGAAACTGGTGGTCTGCACATGCATCGAGGAGGGCGGGGCGTGAAGGGGGGCTGGTGCTGTCGCTGACGCTGACGCAGAACAGAAGGCGTGGTTTGCGTTCGGTGTTTCTGCCATTGAAGGGGATTCAGTGTGTGGTGACTCGGGCGGAGTCGGCTTTACTATCGGGAAACGAGCTCAAGCATCGAGATAAAGAATAAATAATAAAAAAAAGAATTTAGCGGGTTGAAATGTACCACTGCTGTATGTTACTTCCCTCAAGAAGCGTCGTATGTGGATTATTTTTAGCGTTTGTGGTGGGTGGATTTGTTGGAGAGCTGCTTAAACTGGAGTTACGGGAAGCGAAGGAGATTTTCTCGGCCCTGGTTTTCATGAACGTGTTCCTTACAACTTACTAAAGTTCGCAGATATTCTTCAGTTTATCTCTGTTTTAACCAGTGCTCGGTATGTATGCTTGTTTTATGAAGTATGCAATGTGTTTAGGATGGGTGTGTGTTGTATTGTTGAGATTATGTGAGGTTTGGCAGGATCGCTTTAGCTGTGTCGATTGTTCCAGTACAGCGTGTCCAAACTGAATTCTATTAGCAGCTACTGACTCTCCACTTACGTTACTTCAACTACTTGACACTGGCGGTTTATTTACTACCACCACTGTGCTTTTAGCATCCTAAATTAAGTTGTAACTTTACTCTTTCTAATGTTTTTGTGCATTAAAAATTTTAAGTTATAAAAGTAAAAGTTATACATTTATATGGTTCACTAATAATCCGTTATATTATTTAAGGCTAACATTTAGCCAATAAGCTAACCCCGAACATTCAAAATGAATATAAATCTATTTACATGCGTCTTCTATCAACGCCTAATGCATTTAACGTTAAGTTAATTCGCTGTGTGTGATTTTTTTTTTTCTAATTTAATTGTCGTTTTAGTATTGCTATTGAATTTCAATTCTATAAACTTACACTTCAATTGCTTTTTGAATAAATTCATTTTATGTTTGGTTATGTTCGTTCGTTCTTAATGTTGCGTCGATTAAATAAATTGTGACGTTAATCTGTCACATGAAACTCAAAGCAGGGTTTTTCTCTGTCAGCATTTTAACTCTTTGGAGTTTCTTTTAAGCCGTTTGTTCTTTTATTTGCACTTTTTCAAAAAAGTGTTTATTTACGTTTTATGCTTTCTTGGTTAATTTAAGTATAGTGCTTAACATTTTTAAATAACAATGTATCGTTAGAAAACAGAAGAACAAAGAATCACGCAATAAATAATCTCAATATTTTGCTCGTTTAGTTCTACTTGGATAAAAGTATTTACTTGCAGAACATTTATAATCATTATAATCTATTGTTGTTTATGCTATAAAGCTACTACAAAAAAAAATAAAACGTGTGTGTATATATATATATATTTTTTGCCTTATGGTATAGTATTCTATCAAATGATGTGTAACAAGAGTAGATTTACTTATTTTTATCACCATAGAAGTTGAGTTACTGTTTGAAATTGATTTTGTGTGGCTTGTGTAAAATGGCTTCTCTTCTGTGTTGCAGGTTTGAGTTACTGTGTATGATCCAGAGGAACAGGCCTCACACAGATGGGAAGAGTCTGTAAGAAGCACCTTGAAGGTGCACCCAATCATTGGACTATTAGTTTCACATAATCCACTTATCCAGACAGACTATCGAGTGGATGATAATGATAATAAAGGCGTAAAGTCTTTGGATGAAACCTTGTTTTCTTCGACTCTTGCGCCTATATATAAAAATATAGGTTTAAAGAACTTTTGTGAACCATCATTATCATTTTTGTGACACCAGAACTTTACCATCAAAATGAGTGCAGAAGGATATCAGTACAGAGCGCTATATGATTACAAGAAAGAAAGGGAGGAGGATATTAACCTGCATGTAGGGGACATTCTTACAGTCAACAAGGGTGCACTACTTGCAGTTGGCTACGTAGAGGGCATAGAGGAGAGACCAGAAGAAATCGGATGGCTGCCTGGCTTTAATGAAACCACTCAAGAAAAGGGGGACTTTCCTGGTACTTACGTTGAGTTCATCGGCAAGAAAAAGATTTCTCCACCAACTCCCAAACCAAGGCCCCCAAGGCCTCTACCTGTGGCTCCGGGGACTGCAAGGCCAGACTCAGACTCTGAGCAAAGTGAGTAAGCTAAAAAATCCCCTGAATTATATTTTCAGCCTTTTTGCCACATCCAGGGATCTGAAAGTATTGCTAACTGGACAAAAACATGTCTTGCATATGATACAAATTAGCTTTAGATTTCAAAGTATTTATCAAAGTATCTTAAATTAGAATTTTATAACAGTTTGAGCTGCAACTTAGATAGTTTCTCAATTCCACAGAAGTTTTATATAGTTAACCCTTTGATTAATATTTGGTCACCAGAGTTGACCTTAACCAGTGGTCACAAAGCAGATCTTCATGCAGTATTAAAAAAAAAAAAAAAGTCAAACATTTTAGCTTGGTTGGTGCATACTTTTAACGAACCCTTTTTCCACTTAACTAGATCCATTCATGCTGATGCCAAACCCACGTGCCTCTCTTAAAATACCCACTCACCACTTATTCCATTTTTGTTACTAGCGACCAGATTTTACACCACCATTTCATCAAGAGATTGGATTTATAGCTGCAGCACACAAATGTCGCCTGAATATTTAAAGGTGTTTAAGGTTTGCACTGGGTTATGCTTTGTGATTGCAAACATGTCAGGAAGCCCAGATTTGGATGGAGGCACACAAGAGTTTGTAATTGTCTGGCATTGCTGCATCTTTCACACAGCCACAGTACAAGTGCTTAGAGCACCCTATGGCTCCTTTAAAATCGCCCAGTTTGCGTAATTTGTAGGTTTGCTCTATGCTGTCTTTTTGTGTAATTTGTTGCCATTTATTTTCTAGTGTCATAAAAGCTTAACCTATATTGAGAATTATACAATACAGATTCTTAGGGCACTTTCACACTATAGCTTTTGAGGCGTGTTTGCCTTTAGGTTCTTAATAAGTACCAGAAAGACAACTCGGTTGTCATGGTGACAACTAAACGTGTTCATGTTGTCAGGTTATGAAACATGGATAAGAGAGATAGGGCACAGTGAGAGGTTTTTTTTTTTTTTTTTTCCCCTGGTGGTCAAGAATCAAGATTGCTTAAGCTGCATAACTGTGGCTAAATTGATACTATGGCCTTTTTTTTTTGAACGACTATTCTGATTTGTGTGCATGTTAAGGGAAGGGAGAGGAAGCTCTTACATTGGACAGGGGTTGAGACTTGGAGATTCTAGTTTTAAAGGAATGTAAACCAGAAGCAGATCTGGAAAACTGCCAGAGCTCTTGGCATTATGCTGCTCACATGCTAGAACCAGGACTCAAACCCAATCCACCACTAAAACAAAAAGTTCCTGTTCTCAAACTCAACACATTTGACTTGGCTGTGCTTTATTTTTCTTATCTACATAGGACATAATTGACATCTGATGCTAATTACACTGTAGGAAGATTTTTTCGGCCCTGCTAGAAAATCTCTGGTTTCTCTTCCTCATTTGAAATGACTACCATATGTTTTTTTTTTTTTTTTCTCTTGAAATCCTCTTAGCCTATTTGGGGAACTGTTGCGTAAAAAATCAGTGCAGAGAGAAGTGAAATGCCAGAAAATTACCCTCGTTCTCGATAGTGATGCTTGAGGTATTATGTGGCATTGTGTGTGTGGTATTATGTTATTCCTGATGAATCTCCAGAGGTAGCTGAGCTCATTTCGAAAATTATTTGAAACATTAAAATTGAAAAAATAAATTAATAGCCAAAAATAAAATGCTTTCCAGTGTGACATTTACTGTGCGCCATTTCCGTGTGGGGCCTGAAGCAGAGACTCATGGCATAAGAAACATCTGGAATGTCTTAAAGACGAATCTCACAGATTTTCACCAATTTAGCAATTGGCGCTTCCTCTTAGTGTTCACTTTATTGGTCTACTAGCACAGGATAATTCCAGGCAGAGAACGATTTATAATTGTGCTGTGCTAAACGAAGCTCAACTGGAAATATAACTTTAACCATTCCTTACCGTTCTTAGAACCTTTTGATGAAAAAACAGCAGTTTTTTTTCCAACAGCAAGATTCTAAATGGAAAGTTTACATTTAAAAAGTTACCAAATGTGTCCATTGAATTTGTGTCAAACAGGTTAATGCACCAAGTAAAATCATTAGTCATTCTTGCGATGATTTCGCGTCTACCGCGCCGTGCTAAACACCTCATTCACCCAGCAAAGTAAACGCATCTTTAAATTGAAATCACTTGCTCCAGACGCGTTTGGTGTGAATGCACCACTACTGTTCATACTCTCTGTAATAAGAGGCTGGGTTGATGAGCTTTTAGTGAATAAAGAACTGCTATGTTCAAACTTGAGAAAAAGAAAGTAATAAGCCATGGTTTATCTGCACTGTAGGCTGAGGCCTAGTTTACCTTACATGTGCACTTTGTAATTTTATTTTGTATTGCCCTGTTTGAGCCCTTAGAAGGGGCTGTTTGTGTGACAAATATTTTTTCATCCTTTTATTGATGGGCAGTGTCACATGTGTCAAGTGTGAATGTTAGTGTGAAATTGAACACTTCATTTTGTGCCATTATTGTTTTCAATAAAACAACATTTGCACAAAGTAAGCTAATCCACTTTTCTATGTTGATTAGAGCATTAAAATGAGAAAGTAATGGGACAGAATGAAATCAAGGGACATTAAGAATAGATAAATATGTGAGATTAATCGCGAGTTAACTATGACATTAATGCGATTAATCGCATTGTTTTTATTACTGTGTACAACCAACCATACTGTTAAGGCCCGTACACTCCGGGACGAATATCAGCGCGCGTTATTCGTCAGCGGTTTTCAACGCATTTTTTGTCTTCACACCCAAGCGTTTTTCGCTGACGATGAGCCGAGTGAACATGCAAATTCATTCCCTGACATTAGATGGCGCTTAATGTAAAACAGAAATAATAATAGAATACTATACTAGGGTGATCATATTCATGTCTCAATGTTTTATTATGACAGATAAAAAAAAACGAATGAAATAATGATAGAAATAATGTCTTCTGTATTAGAAAAATAAATATATAAATAATAAATAACTAAAAGAAATGCCTCCAAATGTAACAAAAAATAGCTCTCACGAACTTACAAAAAAAACGAACTTACAAAATCTATTTATATTTTTAATTTTCATTGTCTTTATCTTGTTTTTCTTCCTCGTCCACCTTGTTTGCCCATCTATATTTTGCTGTAGAACTGATCTTTCCCACCAGTTTTTTTTTTTTTTTTTTGAAAACCAGGACATTTTCATCACTTAAAAACAGCCAGGACAGGACATGGAAACAGGACATGTGTAACGCAAAGTTGAGATGTTGCCCAGAGATAAAAACATAGCAGTTGTCGGTAGGGCTGTCGCGGTAACCGCAATATAGTAGTACCGCGCTTCTGACATGTCAACCGCAGAGGATTGCACGTAACCGCAGCAACCGCGATATTCACGTTTTTTTTATAAGGCTTCTTGTTTTGAACTTAATGTGTATTTAATGTTTAACAAGTTCATAATGATAACAAGACTGTTTATCATGGTGATGTGTAGCCTACAGGCTTCACACAGACAGTGAATGAGAGAGATCGGCAGAGCGCGTGCAATTACCTGCGTCTGTCTTTGAAGTCGTGAAAAGCTTGTCGTGTCAAAGGGAAGCGAAATATTTGTTGCATCATCATTTAACGTTCTCTTCACGGGTATTTTCCCCATAAATGCGCGTCAGCAGCAGCGCTGGTCAACATCCCACAGCACAAGGAAGCCGCGGGCAAATACAATCAGTGAGTCACGCATTGAATCAATGGGTCTCTAATAAGTGAAGCATCAGCTTCAGCGTTGCCCATATGCGACGCATTGCTGCTCAGCTGAGCCTTGAAAAGTTGAACCTCAATGTTAAAAATAACTAAACATCTTGTTTCTTTACATCTCTTTTAATGAATCAGCTTTTTTAAACGTGTTCGTTGAATGAACGGTTCGCTCAAAGTCAGTTGTCATAACAATATGCGCGCTGAGTGAAAGTCTTTCAATGCGCATATACTGTAGACGCTGTTTAGTTTCGGTTACATTGGTTACTGAAAATGTCCTCGTTTTTGTCCACATCGTAAACTTTTTTTATATAGCAACAAAAACATATAAATTAAATAAATAAATAAATGGCGGTAATACCGCATATTGCGCTATTGAGCCACTCAACATCACCGTGTCAAAATCTAACTGACACTACGCACACTATGCGCAGTTCTTATCTCAACTCAGATTTCTATAAAGCACAAAGTGACCGTTTTAAACATGTCCCGGGAAAACAGGACTGTTGGTCACCCTACTATACTATTATTACAGAAATACTAATATAAATATTATCATATAGCTCTTTATGCTCCGAGACCAGCAGCTCAACATTCATCTTGCCCATAGGTATCTTATCTCTTCTTCGCCGTATGTGTGCTCGGCAAGACCGTTTTGTGTGAGTATGGCGCCCCCAAGTTGTGTGTTACTGTAACTTCAGAAGTACCAGACACGTGAGAAAACCCGCCAATCTCGGTGGTCGGATAGGTTTTGACGCGGCGCGTCAAACCAAAAAAATGAACCCAAAGCGTTTTTTAAAAATGACGCTTTTACGCGTGGCGTTTTTCGCGTCGGTGTGAACACTCACATTGGCGCCCATTGTTTAGTCACGAGGCGTTAAACGTCGTCGAATATCGCGCACGAAATTCGTCCCGGTGTGAACAGGCCTTTAAATGGCATTACTGAGATGAGCGTGAATGCTGTATATTTAAGGCACCCAGGTCGCACTTCTCGTTGCCTTACTGTGTTTCAGATTTTTCTCGTTCTCTCTCAATTCTACATCTTCCTCTTTGAATTTTTGGATTATTCTTCTGGGGTCAGACATGATTGAGGAGATTGAAGGGGAATGTTTAGCATGGGACATCTCTCTGTCCCTCCCACTCACTCACTCACACACTCACACAGCTCAAGAGAAGAGCAGATGTGGAATTTCTGTCCGTTTTGGCTCCCAGGCTTTTTTTTTTTTTTTTTTTTTAAACATTTACACACTCCTTTCCGTGGGCCTC